AGAGATAAAAAAAAAAAAGAAAAAAGTAAAAGAAAAATAAAAATAAATCAAAAAGAAGTTAAAAAAAATAATTTGAAAGCTTGTTATAAAAAAAAAACCCTTTTATTACAAACTTTAAGTAGTTAGACAAGCAGCTTACTTCTGTTAGAGGTAATATAACAGATTGCACTTAGATGCTATTAGAATAGCTAAGTAATGCTAGGCTTAGTTGTTAGATATATTTATATAATTGCAATAGTATTTTCAAAAATTTTAATAAAGCACTAGTATAACTGCTTAAATAAAAAATAAATAAATATTAAACATCTATATTTAGATAAGCTTTAACTATTCTAGTAGATTTAGGTTACAGATAAATTAGTCTAAGTTTTTATTCTTATATATAATTTTCAATTTATTTGTTTTATATAAATAGTAATAACTATATAGTTAGCAGTTCAATGATTAATTCTAATTACAAATATTGACTTTGGCTATAGTATATATACATTTAACTATTTTAAATTACTAATAAAGATATAGGCAAGACCTTATCTTAATACTAAAAAAAAATCTTTTTGATAATTTATATAATAAGAATAATAAGAATAATAAAATTCAAATAGAAAATATTGAATTAAAAAAAAAATAAGTTTGTTAAAACATTAAATAAAATTTAAAAAAAAAACAATAGAAATAAAAGCTACTAAATTACAAAACTAACAATTAAAAATGAATTTGGTTTGTTTTAATCATCAAATTGCAAAACTATATTAAATATAAACTAGAATTTATTTTTATAATATAAATATATTTGGTTTTTTTTTATAATACTAAACATGTATTATATTAGTATATAGTTTTAGTTTGCTATTTGTTTTATAATACTTTGTAATATGTAACTTTATTTTAAAATATTAAATATACTTTATAAATGCTAAATACAGTAGCAATCATAAGTAATAAAACAAAAAAAATTAGTTATATTACATTATTTCATACAATTCTGGATTTATTTTTTTATTTTTTTTAATTTACTTCTAAATAGTTTCTTTTTTTTAATATTAAATTTTATTAATTGTTATTATTATAATACAAAGATAATTACTTATATATCATAAAATATGTAATGCATTACTTTTAATCATTTCTTATAATACTTATATATAATATAAATAATTATATAAAAGTAAATTTTATTGTTATTTTTGCATCTTTGTATAATATTAAATCTTATTGATAATCAAGTTTTTTTTAAAAAAAACAAACAAGTTCAGTCCAAAAGATTAATATTTTACTTTTGTTATAAAAAAAATACTTCATAAAGGCAGTAGATCATATTTATAATATTAATTTCTCTACTATTTTCTGTATTAAAGAAAAATAATTAAACTATTATATACTTGAGAATTTGATAAGAGTTAGTTATCTAATTGTTTTGAATAAACCAATTGTAATAAAAATTGTAAATTTTATTGTCTTTTGTCATTATTCAAATGTTATTGAAGTTTGTTCTTATTTTAAAGAACAAGAAAACATTAATATTTCTGTGTCTACTATCTATTATATACTTAGAACCCATAGTTTGGTATTAGTAATCAAAAAGAAAAAACTCTAATTAAGCTAAAATTATAAAAAATATTAATTAGAATTTACAAAAAATATGCAAATTGGACTTATAAAGACTAAATTAAAGTAATTTGGTCTTATAAAAACTAAATCAAAGTAATTTGATCTAATAAATTAAAATTTAAAATTTTTAGATCTAATAATAAATAATATTATTAAAAATATCTAATGAATTTTTAAATAATTTTCATATTAAATTAATAGTAAAATACAAAGATGATTTGATTATAATTTGAGATCACTTTATGTCTTGTGTATTGATGGTTTTTATAAAATTGATAATCATATAAATAGTGAATTATATCATTAATCATTAATTATTTTGTAAAAATTTTATAGAAACTGTTATAAATTTAATTTTCATAAGATTATTTTTTAACAAGACAATGATTCTAAACATATAACAAGATTAATAAAATATTGATTAAAAAATAATTGTATTTAGTTGTTAGATTAACTATTTTAGTCTTCTAATCTCAACTCTATTAAGTATCTGTAAGTTGAAATTAACTATTAGCTTAGAAATCTTTCTGAATAAATTTTAAGCAAAAAGATCTTTAAAACAAGATCTAGATAGATTTAATAATAAATTAATATTAAGATCTGCACTAACCTGATTTGATCTATATTCAAATGGATTTATGATGTTATTAGAACATGTAATGGATACATCAAGTAGTAGAGGTTAAAAAACACTAGATTAGAAAAAAAAATTTTGTTTTAATATTATGTTGTATTAAATATGATCAAAAGTAATGCAATATGTCAATTAAAATAAAGTTCATGTTCCCAAAAAATTTGTTTCATTTATTTTTTTTTTAAATTTTTTATATATAAAATCTAAAGTATTTATAAGTAAATTAAAAAAAAAAGGATATGTTTACTATTACATAAAATAACATGATCTAACTAATTTTTTCTTTTTTGCTCCATTACTCATAATCACCATTGTATATAATAATTAAAGTATTTAATGCTTATCGTTATACTTGTATTTTATATATATTTTTTTTTAAAAAAAGAAAAAGATGCACATATGTACATATGATAATTTTTTAAATATGTACTATTACGAAAAAATTTTTGTGTTGTGTACTATTAAAATTTATATATGTCCGTACTAACTTGCATTACCGTACTGTACTACGTTACTTACTACCTAAAAATTACATTTGGACTGTTGCATAACAAACCATGCTTAGAGTATATACTGCATATTTTTATATGTTCTAAGCTTGTGCAAACAACTCATTTAGTAAAATCTCTATTATATGCGTAAAACCAAAATTGACTCATAGTATATACAGCATGTATATGTATGTTATATAGTTATACGTAGTCTAGCCTTGATATAGTTACTTTTATATTATTACGTATACGTATACAAATTATAACAAAATATACAAGACCAATAAATTAGTTCTCAATTTTACAAAACTTGAAGAAAAAATTTTATGTATTTTATATAAATAATTGTTTGAAAATAAAATTAAAAGCCGGTTTGCCAGTCTGTATAGCCTAATATATCAATATATTTTTTACCAATTATATATTATGTATAAGTGAATTTCTAAAAACAATTAAATGTAGTTATTTTCTTATTATAACCGAAAAATTATATATCACCTTAAAGACATTAAATTTTGATTAGTGGTCGCGGAAAAGATTCGGAAAAGCGGCTAAACCGTTTTTCGAATTGATTTAAACAAATACGATTCAAACTAATCGAAAACGGATTTGCTATTCACGAAATCTTATTATACGATGAATGGTCCCCTGCAAGAATGACTAAATATCTTCAATAATTTTGCATTTAAATTACTGTAATGCTAACGTTTCATAGCATTCGTTTAAAACAGAAATTATTGAAAACGAATAGGTCATACACGAAATGTCGACATTAAATTAACAATTAATTACTTAGTTGTACTAACTTTACCACTGCTTAAGCACCAAACATCGAAATTGAATCAGCTGTTCTCGAGTTGTAAAAGGTAAAATATGTATAAAAAAAAGATAAACGACTTTGCTACTAATTTTAGTAAAACGACCATACGAAATTAATTCCTTGGTCTTATAGCACCAAAATTCCGAAACCACTCGACAACCCAGATTTTTTTTAACTTAAAGTGTATAAAATTTTTAAAATATCATGTGTTTTCAAAAATTGACTCGGTCAAGTTATTAAAACTAAGAAAAATTTTGTATGGACTAACTTTCACGAATAATAAATATTTATAATAATAATTATAATGAAAATTTTATTTTGCTAAATCATTTGTTACAGAAATAGATCGTCACGTAACGGTTGCTCCTCTGCCTTTTGTAAGTTCATGATCTCAGTTAATGCCTCGTACACCTAAATAATCGTATATTATTAGCTGTTTATATAAAAATATCACAAATCACGGAACATAGAAATTTTTTTTACCAGTTTTATGTGTGCGTTAATTTTAGAAATGTCTTGAGTGTATTGGTCTGATTTTCTATTACAAAAATTTTAGGCCAAGAAATAATAAATTAGAAGGAAAAAGTTTTTTCCTACCTTTGTAGCAATTTCTCTTTACGATCAATATATTTGATCGCTTCATCCAAAGTCAATTGCACATGAAACCCAAACCCAACGTTTACATAGATATATGTAGTATCAGGTCTGTTCAAAAATCAAGAAATTTAATAATTCCTTATTTCATTGATGGCATCCTTAATTTCTGAACCTACATTTTCGCTTGTGCGTAAAAATTTGATCCTAAATCAACCATAGTTTTTAACTCTTTTAGTTCGTTTGATTTGATTAACTGAATATAGTTTTTTAACTTCATACTTGAAAAAAAAGAACGGATTATTAAATATTTAAAAAGAGCAATAAAATATATATATAATTATAAAAACACTTTACTAATCCGATGTTTCTTCATATATCTTTTCACGCAAATCCCAAACATTTTTTAAATCAGGTTCTAATTTTTCGTGCAAAAATTTTTCGTACTCGACAATCTTTTCTGTATCTTTCACCATGCTCAATGAATTTAGGTTTGTACTCTAAAGATAACTGGTGTCAGACGCGTTTCACGTGAAGTGTCATTAAATTTATCAAGTATATAATTGGTAATAATTGTTTAGCTTTATCGTTATCGTTATGTCATAATTGTGTGGACGATTTGAGATGGTCCGTGATTCGGTACTACAGATTTGTACAGCCAATCATTTGATGCATTTTTGGGCGATCATTAATTTATGGTGCTTTTCAGTAGCGAATCGAAAGATTAAACATTTATATTTCTTGTAAAAGATAATTTGATTCTTGTTCGATCTATATATATATTTCAAAAGACGTACTATATTCTGCTCTCTTGTATAATAGCAATTAAACTATAAATACTTTTGGTAAAATGGAGCCAATAGACGCCAACGAATATTTGATCCAGTACCTAGGAAGTACGATCCTATTTGTTACGAGAATAAGTTATCATAGGAACAAAACTGCTGTGATTTGATCTAACATATTGTTCCGATCATTAACTTCAGGCATCGATAATCTTCCTTCCGAAATTCACTATCATTTTACTGAACTAACAAATAAGGATCAAGAAATTGAGCGTATGTTCAATATTCAAATTTAAATCTTCTATAGTGCTTTTGTGCCTGTTCTTTCACTCAAGTTATATATTACATTGATGTATTAAGAACTGGCGGAAAGAATAGAACGTCGTAAAAAAAGACTGTGGTGTCTATATGATGGTGTTCCACCTGAAGAAGATAGTGATTGTTCCGTAATGGAAAGCGTTTACGAAGATCAAGATACAGACGATGATGACTCAGATAGTGAAGTTGAAGATCAGAACGAAGATGAACAAACTGGTGATCATATTGTTAAAAAGAAGCGGCGTCGTGTGTCTCGCGTTATTACCGAATTCGAAGATGAAGAAATGCTAAAAGATAAGATAATTAAAGATTACATGAGAGCTTCACAATTACAAGATGAAAAAATCGAAATTGCTGATAAGGCTCTAGCACTAGTAAGTGTGTTTAAACAGATGGTATAATCATAATATTATAATATTGTATTGTACAGCTAAATGGTATATTTCACTGTTTTTATAGGTCGAAAGACATATAAAACGTCTTGATGAAGATTTTGATAGTCTATTCCCTCAGCATAATCTTCGCGAAAATCTACATGAATCCTCCACTTCAGCTCCACCGAGTCCGCTCAGAATAGATTCTCTAATGACAATCCAGCCATCAACACATCACATGAATACCTTATCAACACCACAAGCAACTAGGACACCCGCTCATCAGCCAATTTCTGCAGTAACACCTATGTCAACATCAAATTTTCCTAATACTACATTTGATTATAATAAATTTTATTATCCTTCATCAAGTGCCGAGTCTGAAGAAATTCGTAAGTTATGTTAAAGTTTTGATATATTTTTGATAGGTGATGGTTATCTTTCTAAAAAAGAATTTACGTTACTATATCAATACAGCTTTACCATTTTTACCAAACCCAACAAGTTCGTCTGCAACACGGTGTAATAAAGGTATTATTATATGTGATAACTGCAATTATTTTGTTATTAATTAATGCATTTTCTGTTGAATATTACTTCACTGACAGAAGACTCTATGACCTCAGGTCGCCGGCCGCCTGCAATAACCGTTAGTGGTAATAACGCAAGACGTCGAAAACAAATGTTCGTTTTAAACTTTATAAGAAATTTACATATATATTTGCTTGCTTTATATTCACTTTTCGTTTTAAAATAATAATAGTTCTCAGAATAATATATCAACTTATATATCAAATTCGGATGCGTCGATGAACAGTCATCTCTCAAGAGGAATCAAATTGCGATTACATAATGGAGAAGAAAACTCGAATTCTGGATCATCGTCAGTTACTGATCAAATCACGAATGGTGATATTGACCTAATGGATTCAGCTGACGCATATGAAAATACACTTATGGCCGGCACCAATACATTTTCATCAGGATTCGTACAGCCTATTGATCCGAATGAACCGTTATATTGTATTTGTAGACAAGTCAGTTTTGGAGAAATGATTGGTTGTGATGGAGAGGTAAGAAAAATTATATAGCCTGAGTTTTATAAATGTAGCTAACCTGATACCATATTTTTACAGAATTGTCCTATTGAATGGTATCATCTCGATTGCGTCGGACTCAAAGCTGTACCAGAGGGCAGGTGGTTTTGTGATACTTGCATAGGAAATACAAGCCAAATTAAAAAAAGGAAAAGAGGCCGGCCAGCTGGATCGTGAATTGAAATTATAGTTGTTGAGCGAACCTTTTCCGTATAATGATGAAAAACGTAGCTTAAACTGGTGGAACAAATTCGGCGAAACCCAAATTATTCTGACGAAAGATGAAGCCTATAATCGAACAAAAACGAAAGGCAAAACTTAGCGAAAGTAAAGCTCTCGACGCAAAAAAGTGAATAAAATTAAAACATTACGAAAGGCGAATACTGGTGTGACCTGGCAAAAAGTCATAGCTTCTGATAAACAACCAAAAAAGCTATAATTATAATGTGATACTCTGAACTTCGTGGCTGTTATTAATAAAAATAAACATGTGGCTTTTTATATTTATTGATATTTTTTTAAAAAAATAATAATTTAATATCTGGGACTTTTGATCCGGCTTGTATATATATATATTTAACTCTTATAAAAGTCAATTAATAAATAGAACCGAATGTCATTAATATCTCAAATATTTAATTAAATAAACATGTGCTTCAATAAAATTTATAAGATTCGATTGTAATATATATAAAAGCTACAGAATGAAAGCCTGTAAGAATTTAAGATTTCAATACAGTAGATTTAGTTAAAAGCGAAAGAACCAGGAGATTTTTATGATCACGTGATATGGTACGAAATCCCAACTACCCCAGGTGCGGAAAGTCTACGGACACCTATCTAAATGTACCAATCGCCGGTCTTAGTTTAGGGTACGTGTGATTTCACGTGACTTGTACGTGTCCGTAGACTTCCTTCACGTTCACGTGATGATAATCCAATAGTGAGACTCGTTTTAATGTAACGTTACACGATCAGGAAGATCAAAACAAAACGTTCGTTTTCAAAAAATCGCTTATTTCTCATCTTTTGCGCTTTAACAAAAAAAATTCCTTGAGCAATTTTACTATAAACCCCAGTAGTGTCTCATCTTATTAGAAACGCTAACTCTAACCTAAATGAATTTTAAATAATTTTTCGATCGTAACGTGAGCATGAAATTTTGTTGGTGCACCTGGGTAAGATCGAAATCCCTACCAAAAGGGAAAGTCTCCGGACACCTACCAGCCCTACCAATTCGGGTAATTTTTGTACCTGCCCTAAAACCTGTTATGTGCCAATATACCTACCTTAAAGTAAAATCACATAAGCTGGTAGGTGTTCAAGACTTTTTTTACCAAAATAGTGCAGTTATGTGAGGACCGAAAATTCTTTAAAGTTCATTTAGGTTAGGGTTAGGGTTTATGCTAGTGTTAAGATTAGAAGAGGTTTAATAGTAAAATTGCTTAAAGAATTTTTTTTGCTAATGTGCTAAAGGTTATTTTAAAATATTTTGAAGTTATTCAAAAATAATAAAATATTTTAAAATAATTTTAAAATTATTTGAAATTTTTGAAATAAATTTTTTTTTTTTTTTTAACTTTAGCAGTTTTGCTAATCACCTTTATTAAGAGTTTTATATACATAATTTTGTATAAAGTTGACTTAAATTCTGGTTCAATATTTTCTAACTGCTTCTATAAGTGTTTAAAAATAATTTGGTATACTGGTCAAACATTAATCTGATTAGAATGTTATATTAAGTTAGTCATTAGAACTATAAAAAAATGATTTTACTTTTTTTTCTATATAATCCCTAACTAAATCTAATCACAAACTTTGTATTTTTTTCTTTTCTTTTTTTTTCTTTTCTTTTACAGTTCAGTTTTGATTCTTCTTTAAAACTTTTTTATTTACTTCTTTTATTAGACTTCTTATTGTATTATTTCTTAAACTATTTTTTTTTTGTTTATAGAACTAATTCTGTTTGCCTTTTTCTAGTCAATAACTGCTTTATAGTATTTTTTTTATATATTTTCAAAGAAACTATTTTATATTACATTTGTTCATATTGTTATAAACTTTTTAACTTTTTTGAAGGTTTGGATAAGATTTTGTAGTTTTTGAAATAATTTTATATTATTAAAATATTTTTTTTAACTCTTTAGCAGTCTTGTCAAAATCTTTTATTAAGAAAATTGCATATATTAAGAAAATTTTAAAAATAATATATATTATTAGTAATCTTTAAATTATTAACAATATATAGCACTTCTGCTAAGTATCATTATTAGTAATTAATAATGATATAACAAAATTTTATTAAATTTTTATAAACTTTGAATTTAGTTTTTTTAATAACTAATAATTCAAATTTGTTGAAATTTTTATTATAAATAGTATATATGTTGTATCTCAGATGAGAATCCACCCAATTCAGAATCCAGTTATCCCAATTCAGAATCAGGGTAACTGAATTCAGACTTCTTATGCAGGTTGCCTAAATCAAAAATTACTTAAACTATTATATATTAATTATTTCAATATGCTCATTATGTCATTAAGAATTGAAATATAAAAGAATTATTTTTCTAATTATAATTATGACCTTTGATTTTGCATTTCAGCACTATGAAAGTATTTCAATATAGCATTAATTATAGTACAAAAACCTAAATTCTAGATATGATAGTAGTATAATAAGTAAAAAAAAAAAGTGATTTCCATTTACATCAGCAAAATTATAGATGCGAAATATTTTGAAAGAATTTGTATAATGCAAAAATTTTGAAATAATTTAAAAGAAATTTTGAAATTTTTGTGAAATGCAAATTCTTTCGAAAGATTGTGAAATAAATTTCGAAATTATTGTACTATAAAAAAATTTTCGCAATATTGTAAAAAAAATTTTCGAAATTATTGCGTAGCAAAAATATTTCGAAATATAGTGAAAGAATTTATCTAAATATGTGAAGTGCAAATAA